ACTAATTACGTAATCCTAAGAACAAATAAAATCAGCACAGAAAAATATTCCCATTAGCAAAATGGGCTCAAAAACAAAACCATACTGAACATGTCGGTGTAGAACTTATTGATAATTGTTTGAAAAAATATTTGAAAGAGTTTTCAATTTTTTCTTTATATTTGAATGTCGTGCCATTTAGGAAATATTCCAGTGATAAAAGATCTGGTGAGTATAGAGGATAATGAAGAAGCTCCTCTCCTAAGAATTCCTTTTTTTTCTTTTTTCATAGGGGTTGTTTTAAAAAGTGTACATTTTGCTATTTACTGCGCCCTTTAACATCTTTTCTGTTTACCAACACAGAACACCATTTTCTTGAAAGAGTTGCTGGCAATAAACGTCTTTAGAGATGTCCCTTCCATGTCCCAACGGATCGTAATGGACGATGGATTTCATCTTCCACCAGCTACAAAGCAAGGCCTTTTTAAATGGAATCCTGGTATGGGTGTGGGCATTAGTTTCTCATTTTGTGATAACCACTTTCTTATTCATTTTCTGTTGACATGTGGAACAAATTTGTTATCATCTGTAACAATGCGATGTAAAAATGTAATGTTGAAATTCCTGCTTAAAAGACTATGGTGTGCTTGGTTCTCAAGCAAAAGCGCAGACCGAACCGAAATTCACAATTAAAGTTTAAAATACAATATATACGACACGTCGTTAAATAGAAGAAACGATAAACCAATTCGAAACGCAGGTTTTTACCATTCCACATTCGTTGGTTAACTTGTAATTCAGAGCGGTAATTACTTTCCGAGCACTCTAATATTTATAATCTGCAATAAACATAATCTTCAACCTCTTCATAAAAGTATTTATTTATTATTCTGGTCATCAATCTACTCACCGTCCTCATCGGAATTTACCTTAAGAGTTCCGTTCCATTAAACACTATCAATGACATTAATTTAACTAAGACTTCAACCATAATATAATTAACCGTTTCTTATCAACCATTATCAGCATTGTGAACTTCTTGACAGTAACATTGCAACATCTGTTATCCGCTCCGTTTCAGTCAGAGCAACGTTGGTATCCCTGTTGTTTTCATCAAGACGTTTTTTCACGCCTGTCTTGACAAAATGAAGCAAAAAAAAAAATAGAATAGGTGGTCCGTTCCGGCTCGTAAAAAACGAAAAGCTCTTTGTGTTAGCAGATCTTTTAATTTGGGTTAATTAGTTTGGTAACGGATGACTTAAAAATATGGAACCGTTTTTTGTCTTGAAAAGCAAGTAAATAAACTCATAAAATACGCACAATCCAAAAATTTCCATAGACAATGTAGTTTCATTTGTAACATTTGCTTTCATGCTTTATGAATGTTCAAGCTTCTTTTTTTTTCAGAACGGCCAAACCGAGGTTTTATGAGTACTTCTTTTTCTTCTTCTTATAAACTTTGAAATTATGAGATCTAACTGGCAATCTATTACTGCATTTAAATTCGTGAAATCGATGTATCATCAGGACAATTACCTGCAAAATATTTTTAGTAAAAGTACAATGAATGTAGTTTAACAGAAGCCGAGACGCCAGGTAAGAACCGATAACATTGCAGATTCTTCTTTGGATTTTGTCTGTATCTCTTGATATATCACAAGCACCAGACCAGATATGACGGCAATATTCGATGCATGGGCGAATAGTACACTTATAAATGTGCAAGATGGATTCCGGCGAGAAAAATTGTCTAGCAAATGAATAAAGAGTTACAATGGACAGCTAGAGGTTAGATCCTTCATGTAACAATTCAACTAACACGAATTAGAAGACATCAAGCCAGATTCTGATTATTGTTTATAGTCAAAAAATTTTAGATACTGTCAAAAGATGTTGGTGTGATGACGGTATCAAGATAAATACAAAAATTGTTCTTAGTTCTTGGAGAAATACGTTATTTTAGTGTTGCCTGTCACAATCAAAAAGCTTTAAAAACATTAATGCTCGCCGTAAGATCCGGTACTTATTGTAAAAATCAAAATTAAAATCCTATAATAGCTATACGTTTCTAAAGGCTACTTGTGTGTTTTTACCCATTCATTTTGCACGATTCAAAAAATTGGTAGTAGACATTAACGACTTAAACTAAAGAGTATATAATGAAAAAATTAATTTGTTAGGTTGATGTTTATATTTAAGAAGATAGTACCACTCGGAAAACTTCCTTCCATTAACTGCTACTTTGTGTAACAGACTCCGACGGGAATGATTCATTAAATACTACATTTCTAACATTTTGAAATCAAGGATCATTTCTCATTTGTCCTCTTCATTCTCATATTCTTTTAATCTTAACACTTCCTCTTTTATTCATATTCACACATCACGCGTTTAAATATTAAATAGTAACCCTCTACTTGAAAATTGTAATTATGACACTAGAAAATGTAGATTCTAGCCCACAGGTTTGCAATATTTATGAGTACTAAGTTTGATGAATGGCTTCTGGAATATGGCTCGCTTTTAAAGGATTCTAGTCCAAATTTGTAACGTCGATGTCAAAATGTTATCTGAGCTTGGGTTATGTATCCTCCTAGGAAAGTTTATCTTAATAGTTTAAATAGTTTCCGCGGATGGATGTTCAACTTTCAAACAAAACGTAAAACATATTCATTACTTATTACTAGCATTTTACTAATCACTGAGGAGCCTCACAAGACGGTGTCTGTTTATACATGTGCAATAGGATGCCCACCGATTTGTGGTCAATATCCTTTACGGTTGCACAATTGAGATATTCCGAATGGTTTAATATCGTCCAGATAGACCTCACATGTGCGTGCAGCCACATATTTTTGAATTTGTTATGAACTAGCAATATTAGGCTTTCTTTTCTACCACTGTTCCGTGTAGTCTGTGTATATATATATATGCGTATAACGTAAAATGGTATCAGCTTGATTGTCGTAGTTAAAGCAGTTCTCTACCAATGAGTATTGCCTTTATGTGATAATTTCGAGTTCAATTCCTGAAGCCGGCAGTGTGTACATGGAGTGAGTGAAAAAACAGAGCGAGCAATAACTGAGCAGTACTAAAAGTAACAACTTGACTTGATTACTCGAGACACAGGCAGTGAAACGAAAACAGTCTACCCCCGAAATTCGAAATTCGAAATTCTCTATAAGTTACTCGGATCGACATACACCGGAAAAAAAACGTCCAGAGGGGACAATGGCCGAACCGTTCTAATACAAACAAAGATGAGGAAAATAATTTACATTTATAGAGTTTAAATAATAACTTGTCATCGCTAAAATTCAAACAAATTATTCTTCGCCAATGCTAAACTTTGTGAAAGAACCCAGATGAACAGGAGATATTATTTAAATTACTCTACACTATTACATTACGACAAAAAGAAAAACCGTGTTGTGTCGTTTTAAGTCGAGTGACAACAATCAAGCAAGCTATTCTAGTCATTATCTCTATGTTCACCCTGATTTTTATTTATCTACTATATAGGAGTACTCAAAGACTGCGCAGTCGAAATTGTTGGCGTCAGACTTGGAATTCCGTCGTTTCTAATTGTATCTGACATACTACATGTTACTGCTTTGTAACATCCAACTGGCAAATAAGCCGCATATCCAAGTCTCTTTCATTTGTTCATTACAAAATCCTTACTTCCCGTTCTTTATTTTTCTTTGGCACTTTCATGCCCTGTTAGGCCCTACTAGTTGTACATGTCACCGACAATTATCCACTTGCACTACGACTGGGGTGAAAACAAAGTCAAACGGATCCGTGTGCCGATTGGAATTTATGTGTAAATATATTAAGTTGAAAAGAAGCTCTTGTTTCTGTTGAAGATGGAAAAGAAAGAATGATTTTATTGGTCTATATTTTATAAGGATGGTATTTCACCTCATTATCGATGACATAATCTCATCTATTTTGATCCTTTGGGTCGAAACTTTCTCAGATTTCGATCCACAGAAGCCCTGATATATCTACTAAACCGTAACAAGCTTACATAGTCGATGAATGTATAAGAAACTACTTCTTAAATCGAGAAAGGAAGAAGGCCGTTTGCGAAGGAGACTAAGTGTTAAATAATAGTTTAATAGATTATTATTTTTAGGGGAAATGGCATCACTTCGCGGACTTTCTGGGGTTGACATTTGAAGTCAGATACAGGACAAAACAAAGGAAGTCGATTTTGATTGTTTGAGCCAACGTGGGAATGATAGATACAAGAAAAATTTTTTGTCAAGTCTTCACCGTCGAACAGTGTAGACGTGTTCTCACTCGTGTCTGGAAGCGGCTGCCCAGGGAAGTAAGAGAGAAACCCCACTGGACAGTTAGAGATGTATACATCGACGTAAATAGAATAGTTAAGTTTAAAATTCCATTTGTCGAAGTTCGTTTATCTCCGAACAAAATCAACTGGCGATAACCGGCTGTGAAAAAGAAAGCAACATTATTATTGAGTTGGAGCCCATCTCCCAGCATGATGGAGATATACAATATAAGAACTATAATCCAATGTTTTTGAAAGCGCACTGTGGTTAGATGAAACTTGATGAACTTATTTGTGTCTGATGACATCGAAAGAATTTAATGTGTTGTCATTGTGAGGCATACAAGAAAAAAGTATTTGGTGACAACAGTTATACAACTCATACAACCCAAGACAATGATGTTTCGATCATTATGGTCTAAATATCATTGCCTTGGGTCGTATGAGCTCCAGTGGCAATGATGAATATTTCTTCGATGGTGTCGTCAATGGTGAAGTTTACAGAAAGTGGTGGAGACATACATCGCCGACGCAAGAGAAGACGAATAGTCTGTACATGTGTTTGTAGGCATCATAGATCTGCGAGGCGAACTTCGGCAAATCAATGTTGAAGTGACACAGCGCATGCGTTATCGGCGAGAACGAGGCTAACAAAAGTGAGAGATCTCAGTTTCTTGTCCGAGACCGAGGAAGGATGAAAAGAGCTGACTTTTTGCTTCACGGCAGTTTGTTCTTTGAGGCTTGTGAAGGTTATACCCGTGTTCCAGAGAAAGAGTGAAAGTACTGTTGTTTACGGTGTGCAGGAAACAGAGTCCCGGGCGAAGCGTTGTTCCGGTTTTCACGTTAGCTGTCAGCGGGAACAGCTTCGAGGGGAAATTTATTTTTCCTATCACACAATTTTCGTTTAAATTTCACACAGAACTATTGAATGAAAACATTTTGCCATCAACTAAACGTTTGAAAAGAAGCGCTGTGTTTTTAGTATGGCAATAATCTAAAACATGCCGAAAAAAAAAAAAACTAATTTATCATTTATTAAATGTACTTTTAAAAAAAGTAGGGGACCAAACAACTATCCAACAAGTCAGATTTGTTAGAATGCATACAGTGGAAGTAGAAAAATATTCGTTATCCGGATGAAGAATATAATAATCCCTCTCTTAAAAATTCGGATATAAATTTCAGTGAATGCTTTTGCGATTTTTTTTTTTTTTTTGATGATTACAGAGTAATAGAAAATAAAGGTGATCACACCAAATATTTTAAAGAATCTTTATCGTCATCGTATACTGAATCTTTAGACGAAAATATATTCATGTTTTATAACAGGGTCCCAAGACTGCAGAATTCGCTCATAAATTAATCTTGATAATGTCCGGTTTGGTTATGTAATGTTTTATTAGAAACAATAAATACTTTTATGTTTAATTTAGAAGAAAATTAAATTTCTATAACTCTAACTCTCTCTCTCTCTCTCTCTATCTATCTCTCTCTCTCTCTCTCTATATATATATATATATATATATATATATATATATGCGCGATACTTAGTGTAAAGTGATCAATATCTGTAATAGAGTAACATATTCAGTATTATAGATATTATTTCACCAAAGTGGTGGTAGTGGACCCAGACTAATGAGTGTGGGTACGCGTCTACATTTATGGGAGTGTGTGTGAGGAAATGTAAGCTTATCTGACGGCGCGGACGGTAGATCTGAAAAAAATCAAGACCACTCCCACATTGCGGCATATGTAACACTACCGTCTCGACACCGAAATAGAATGACAGTTGCATATATGCATATATATATATATATATATATATATATATATATATATATATATATATATATATGCTCGAATGCATGGATGTGTACCTTCGCCTTTATTTATATGGGGGTGTTATACGTACTAAAACGCATACACCAGTATGTATATGTGTCTATGTATGTGAGAGTGTCACCCCAAACAAAGAGAGAAGAAAATTTCCCCCTTCCACCACACACAAATAATCAAACACGAATAAGCATAAATAGATCCACTTAACAAAAAATACACCACTTTGTCTGATGATCGCAAAAAGGGTGAAACTCAGGATCACAAACTAATATCCATATACTAAATATATATATATGTGTGTGTGTGTGTGTGTATTTAGTCAGCAATCCTTCTTTCAAGCACGTTTCATTGAATATTACAGACAAGGTGCTTTGATTTATATAATTTCTCATGTGATCTTATAATTTTTTCTTTTCGATAGATAAATTATATAAAACTGTCTAATTGTTCTTTTTTTCCGAGCGCTTTCGGCTATACATTTAACCATTTTCAAGGTTGAAATATATTAACTGTTAACAAGAAATTGATTGTAGTATGTACGTATTTACATAATGTTTTCATTTTCAAAACACGGTCAAGATATTGTGTCCATGTTCATAGTTTATATTATTGAGTGTTGGGTTTTTGTTTTTATTAATAAGGCTTCCATTGTTTTTAGCCTCTTTTTGCATGTAGATGATGCTAGTATATTTGTGTTATCAACAAGTATGTTGATCCAGTAGGTCCAGTAGGTCTCCATGAGTATTTAAATGAGACGTAGTTGAGCTATGATCAGAAAGATGTAGTGTGAGTCTTCTTGTCGAACTACTGTCTACTGGACCCTATTTGTAACATACTTGTTGATAACAAGTTACATCTTACGGTTACATCTAGCCATTTCACTTGTAATATGATTAGACCTTGAAAAACACCGGACAAAAATTATAGAACTAGCACACTTAGAAGATATTCACCTTGACAACGTCTAGATACCATAGAGGAAAGTTCATCAGAACACGGTCATAAAAAGGCTACACGGTAACCCTCTACATTGATTGACTTGTGTGTCTTATATTGAATAAACATTAGTATAAGATTCAATTGAATTGTACTTTTGATTTTTGCAGGAAAGTCATTACATATGATTGTTATTCTTGTTCATCTTTGATTCCTCGTTTACTAGTCGCTTGAGGAATCCTCTATTGTAAAAACTAGGCGATAGTCAGTACGAATTTGGGCTTTGTTACAAATGTAAACTATATAGGACAGTGTGAAAAATTAATGATTTTCTGCAGCTATAAAAACTGGCTTTGAATGAATTGGAAAGAAAAATAACAAGGAAAATAAATGTCCGTGAAAGATTATATATCTTTATATTTCAATTTTTTCGTTTCGTATTAACAAAGACAGGCATACCGAATAGGGAATTTACAAGTACGTTGCTGTTGTTGTTGCGTTCTGACAGTAAGATTCGCACAGAAACCATCCCCACAAATATTTGGAAAGTTAACTATTACCATTGCAATTATATCCAGTTCTAGTGCCATGAATACTTAGGTATTTAGGTAAGATATGCTTCAAACAAAAAGCTGTAAATGCTTGTCAAATTTTATCTTGATATGTCTTTCACTTTCTTTCGGTCTACATATCTCTGCATCCCTTATATTGTCTATGTCTTTATAGCTAGCTGTTACTTTCTTTCGTTCTTTTTCTTTCTCTTGTTATTTCTGCCCATTTTTATATCTCCAGACAAGTACACACACACACACACACACACACACACACACACACACACATATATATATATATATATATATATATATATATATATATATATATATATATGGTGGACCTTCCCACGTCGATTTCGGCGTATGGGGATCTGACAATTGATTCAGTTATGAATTTTGGGTGATAATCTTAAGTGGCACTTAAGACCCGCGAGTGATTTGCAAAGGAGACTGCATATGGAGCATGAGTCAGGATTGTGGGATGAGGTTACTGTTAGTTTGGCTGACCTTTTAGATCTTGCTCTCCATTCTTGAAGACGATTCGGACAAGCAGAATGAAAACATCTGAATCGACTACAACACGTTGATCATCATTCTGCCCGCTTCAAGGATAAGCGCTCGAGGGTGTTATGAGGTATATTGATAGCTGACAAGTTGCTCTTCAGCTTATCTTTGTATCTAAGCCATGGGCGTCCTACATTCCTGTAACCTTGATCTAACTGGCTGTACATTAAGATCTTGGACATCCAGTCATCAGACCTTCTCAAGATATGACCAATCAACCGCAACTGAGATTGTATGAGGAAAGTCTCGATTCCTCCAATATTAGACCTATTAAATTGGTCTACATTTGATTCCTGTCTTGAAGGCAAACTTCACAAATTGCACGCAGACAGCTCTTATGGAATACATCCAGCTAGCGTAGATGTTACTTGAATGGAGTCCACGACTCTAAGCCGTACAAAAGGATGGCAAGGGCATCAGCTCTGTTAACCCGAATTTTCGTATCCAGTCGGATACCACGCTCATCACACAATCGATGGCGAATTTTGCCGAAAGCACTGGTAGTCTTAGCAATACGATGCATGATTTCATCATCTAAAGATCCACTGTAGTTACATATATATATATATATATATATATAAGACTCTAAATGAATTCCGCTAGATAAAACAAAAATCCAAAAAAAAAACTCATGAAGGATTGAAATTAAGTCCAAATATATATATATATATATATATATATATATATATATATATATATATATATATATATATATATATATATATTATTCTGGGATCATTTTCCAACTTATTCAAGATAAATTTCACCCTCTCTAAACTTCTAACTTTCTGTCCTGGAATAACATAATACCTCACAGTTTTCACATACGATTTCATTGTTTTTTTTTACTGTTCTTTGGACTGACATAATTGAAACCCCCTTTCACGTGCCTTATGGATTGAGTTGGATCTTTTCTAATTCATCTCTTTAGCGATAAGTTGAAATGATGATACCTCTTGCTGTTGGGACCTCTTGGTCCTTACTGTTCCTTCTTTTTAAAACTTAATCACCGTTCTCTTGATGGTTCTTGAATGGACTTTGAAGAGAAAAACCAGAATATGAATATTGGTAACATTAATGAAGGCTTGCGTGATATTTTTTCCTCTCACCATTGCTTATTTGGAAGTTGATACAAAACAGTTTAAACCTGTTCTCTTTCTAGCTGAACAACTCTAATGTTTTTTTTTTTTCAGTTATTCTTATGACAAATGGTGTTAATATGGCTAAACTTCATATCTTCTGAAAACCTGTAAATAAGAAACTCAATTAGATTTGTTGTTTTTTTTTAGATATTAAAAAATTTTGGAGATGGAAAATTATGCTGTTTGGAAAATTTTGCAGTTAAACCCAGTATATCTATCTATCTATCTATCTATCCCCCTCTCTCTCTCTCTCTCTCTCTCTATATATATATATATATATATATATATATATATATATATATATATATAATAATTTTGCAATAAAAATCCAACAAGATAATAACAGTATTGGCAATATAATATATTAGGCTTTTGACTAAATTGACGCAGGAAGAGAAATATTTTTATGTCAGAATGTTTTAACACGCCTGGGGAATAAACAAAAAAGTAGAACTTACTCATCCAAGAGATGTTGTTTTTGGTTAGAGGACTCACTGAGTAAACCAAAATCCCTGTTTATTCCGTCAATGGACGATTTTATTTTGAAAACATATTTCAACTCAGATCTGTGTCTTTCTTGTCGGCTGTTAAATGAAAACGTTAAAAGCACACATTTGATTTCATCAGTGCTATGAAATGGTTGGTTGAAGTGTGCATCGACAGGGAATTTTTTTGTTGTTATCTTTGATCTTTTATGGTTATTGAACCGAAGACATAATTCCGTGCTTACTTCTCCGTCATTTTCTCTTTTGCATTTGTGACAGAAAAGTAAATATATAAGATTAAAATATTTAAGATTTAAATAAATTTAAATCCCAGAGCTGGTAGTTAGAATATTGTGTGAATGCCACAGTGTGTGAAATTGATATATATATATATATATATATATATATATATATATATATATATATATATATATATATATAAATACTAAATATACAGTTTTTCACTCAATGTGCAATACTTTATACCTATATAAGATAGATAGATAGATAGATAGATAGATAGATAGATAGATAGATATACTAGCAGAATTAACTATCTACGCCAGGTATGGTAATAGTTAGAATTTACCCTACAAGGAAGCCTTCGACATTCATTGACCAAGCATTTAAACTTGCTGTCAACTAAAATTTATAAAATCTTTCTCTTAAAAAAATCTTCAAGAAAATAGGTTTCTCAAATCCAGTAGCTGTTATCGCTCTTTCCAATAATGATTGAGGCTTCTTTCCTAACATTTGGCTTGAAATAGTGTCGTCGACCTCTTGATTATGTCATTATTTTCTCTGCCGTTTGCTACCCTTACGTTTTTAAGTGTTTTCTGCCATTTGTTACAGATCTCTGTTTGCGATTGTGTTCCAGATGTTTGAAGCTGTGTGATTGTCACCAAGACGCGTAAACCATCATGATTTGGAGAGAAGCTGATTATAATGAGAGCACAACGAGTCATTAGTATTGTGAGTGTAAGCTGGTAAGTGTTGATTCCCTTAGAGTCATGTTATGCGAAGCCGCTAGTTATATATAGTACTAGCAGCATGGCCCGGCGTTGCCCGTGCTTGATTTAAAAATCGTACGACTCATACAGCAATCGCTATCACTTGACTTCCTTGACTTCTATTTTTGCCCTTCCTTGCCTTTAAATTACTGCCCTTTGCCGTGCTGATATTGCGACATGCCTTACTTCTTGCCTATCTCACAGTGCGAATTTCTTCTAAGTTCTATACTAAACATTAATGAAAAAATGTTACGAAAAAAGAACTAAACAAAACCAGCAGCTTTAAAAAAAAAAGTACTCGTAACTGGAAAAACCGAATGAAGAAAGAATGTTAACAACAAATACTTTTTCACACACAACCCAGTTCTGCGGAATCAGAATCAACGTTGAGTTTAAGCAAGCGAATGAGCCAATTGGAGTAAAGTGCCATGCCACTTGTGACGAATGCAGCTATCGATTTTTTTGCATGCTAGCATGCTAGTTAACATTCGTGTCAGTCAGCTGTTGGCTCTCATGCTGGCCAATAGAATCTTCCTTCCTATTCGTGGCAGCCAGCTAAAGGCTCTCACTCTGGCCAGTAGAAAATGGCCACAAACTACATGAAAACTGCCGTAGAAGCATGAAGAAATCGATTATTTCCACTATCAATGGGAGATGGGAAATGCAAAGTCGGTGTTGGCCTTCCCGCTAACTTGGAGCATGTGCATGTAAATTTTGGTGCAAATCTGTCGAAAATTGCGGCCGTGCATTCGTTACACACACATTCTGTCTTTTATAGATAGAGATTGAAAACTCCTCGAAGGTTTGTGAAAAAAAAATTTGCTTTGTTTTTGAACGCCCTTAATTGTTATAAACACTTCAACTATTAAATTTGCTAGAAGGCGTGACTGGATATAATCGCCATGTGAGGATCGCTCTGTATGTTTTATTTACAGAAAACAGTTGAAACTGTAAGCGTAGTGCTAAACCCAGGTTGACGATTAAAACCCATGATGTAACTTATGCAAAATTTCCCCTGTTCCTTCAAAGCTAAAAACAAAGACTGCTTTTAAATTCTGTGGTTATAATCAGCGGACGCCTTCTCCCTTCAAGTGATACTAAGCAAACTTTATGTTACTCTAAAAAAGTAATTTCATAATTTTTACAAATTAAATATTTCATTAATTTTATCATTTTTAAGAAAAATTTTATTAACTTGTAATTTTTGTATTCTTATTTTGGTTAACTTCAAAAGTTTAATAGGTTTAATTTTTAATTATTCTTTTAATTGTATTATTATGGCTGTACTAAGAAAATTGGCTTCGAGTGGCGGCGTGTATTCTTTATTATACCTTAGCAATATATTTTATCATTTCTCCCTCAGAAGCGAAACATGTTTAGTGATAATTAACCGAGAACGTCACAGTCTATTGTTATGGACAGTGAAGCAAATGGAAAAGGTTACATTGTTAATTATTATGAATTATAAGATTTAAGTTGAAACGAAATGCAATGTTAAATTTTACTAGATTTTCTTTCAATGTATTTTTATTGTTTTCGACCATATCATCTTATTCTTTTTGTCTTCGATATGTCATGTGAATGTTAGGAGCATAAATAGTGCCAAATACATCAAGTTACCGGAGAACCATTTGATATCAGACTTGGATGAAGGCGAGATTTTTCAACATGACATTGTCCCGCACTACAGATTGCATAAATCACAACAGAGATTGGCTGATGAAGGCGTCACCGTAGTGAAAGATTGCCCAAATCAAAGGCTTTAAACTTAAATATCGTGGATTTAGTGTTTAAAGAATAACTAGAATAAATAGAGACCGTCAGAAAAATCCATGCAATCTTGAAGAGTTGCGGGTGGTCAGTCACAGAAAATGACATCTCATATGTATGAAGATGATGAATGATTTATACGCATCCCTTCTCGGGCATATAGTAGAAACTCAAGCTAGGGGAAATTACAGGAAATATTAACAATATGCGGTAACTTCTCGAAATGGAAATTATGTGACAAATTTTGATTATAGGCATTTTAACTGTCTTACGACAATATGTTTGGATTGCTTGTGGTCGGAAACATTTACAGAGACATTTTTGAGGTTCCAATTTTCGCCTTTCATTCAGAGTCCCTGTTATTTAGGTATGAAATTGACTCAAAAAAGGAAGATCATCTTTCATCTGGAGACAAAGCAATGCGAAACAATGTTAATTAATAATTAAGCATTAAAATCAACAATATTTTAATTTACCGAAGACTTTTTCCCATTTTTATAATACATACAAATATATATTTAATTACAGACTAGAATGCATTAATCAATACTTAGTTTGAATCAATCAGATGTAGCCATGAAAAGTTATCAGCCTTACACACGTAAGTAAACCTGATAAATTATAAATAAGAAAGAGTCTATTTTGCCGGTCCCGGTAAAATAGACAAACATACTATTAAGTTTATTTTACCTGTCTCGGTAAAAATTTCCATCATCAGTTGTTAAAACACAAGTTAACATTTATCCATAATCAATTATTAAAAGAAATATAGAAGTCTGAATATTTTAAGCGCTTCAGGCATAACAATGTCTGCAAATCCAAAACTTGCCCTTGAGCATCGTTCTCTTGCCAGTACACTTCAGATGCACCCACTGAAGACAATAGTCACAGACCACAGAATCCATGTTGTTCAAATACTGTCTACACACAATCACTGCGCCGATGATCTCATATATACTCTGAGTTCTAAAACACTATTTATATTTACCGGTGAAATAGTCTTGGTGTCTATTTTAGCGGGGCCGGCAAAATAGTCTACTATAAATATCAGAATATTTTTTACTCCTTTTTGGTCGGATTGAGAACTTTTCATCACCACTTCGTATTAATTGATATTTCATCTGAAAATACGCGATATATTGAGAACCGTTGAGTAGATTACGATCATATCTACAACGATTTTTGTGTAATATAATTTTTTTCCTTTTTTAGATAACGCAGTTATTGATATGACCTTGTGGGCTGGTTGTTTTTGATTTAGCGGCATATCAACGTCTATGGGTTATTTAATACCGAAATCTAAATATTTTGAACACAATTGTATTGTATTGGTTTTTTCGTTGGGCGGGGAGGTAATGATGGTTTAGTGATACAAGTGTTACTAATTAGCCCATAGCTGGGGTATAAGAGATGGATTCATACCGTTCCTAAGGTTATTTGCCCGTATGTGAATATAAGGAAACCAACTGGAATTGGAACTCTGTTCTCCGATTAACAATTCAAGGCCATAATTCATTACACCACCCGCATATCCAAGTTCCATAGTGAGTTTAATCCTCAGTTGGTACGCCATACTTTCTACCTTGTGACAAATCTAAACTCTGCTTAGAAAATCACAATGCATAAAATACAGAAGCACACCTATATATATATATATATATATATATATATATATATATATATATATATATATATATATATATTATAAATTAATTGACTTAAAATATGTTTTTTTTCGCTACACAGTTCCAAGCATGTTTCAAAAATAGAAGCTAAAAACCCCGAATTTAATTTTGCAATTAAATTAAAAGCATTAGTTCCATTTCATCTTCAAGCGAATTTTGGAGTAACTTTTAAAATTACCGGGTTTTAAAGACACAGCTAAAATCACGTTTCCATGGTTACAGAATATTCTACTTAAATTGAACAAGGGGTGTCTAGATTTTCCTTATGTCAGTATCATTGCATCAGTTATTAGCTACAATTTGGTAAGGGGTAGGGATGTATTTTACAATGAAACCTGACATCATTTGAATGGATGTCGTCTGAATTTTTTTTTTTTTAATTGTTAACGGTAAAAAAATTTCAACGTCATTTTTAAATTTAAAGATTTTCGTTTTTTTTTTTTTTTTTTTTTTTTCTATACTTTTTATTTAACTACGATTTGAAATATTCTCCTTTTTATTTTTATTTTACTAAATTCTTTTTGTAAAATAAAATATCTATAAGAACACCGGATTTTATATCTTACTGTTCTTTCTTTTTTTTACATATATATATATATATATATATATATATATATATATATATATATATATATATATATATACACACACATATACATATGCATATATATGCGCGAGTTTCTTTATTTTTATGTATGATGATTTTTTTCTCTGTGTGTGTGTATGTGTGTACATGTACTTCGTGTAACTAGTATCCATAAGAATATTGTTAAAGATTGCGTTCCTTACTGCCCAAGCTGTTTTTCACTGATGGGGTAAGCGACTTTACAGAATTCTAGGATTGAAAAAAAAATTAAGTATCCCTACATTATTTAGCCTAGTCCCTATACCTCCAAGATTGTCAATCTTAATTAGAAGCCGCCAAAACCACTGACGCGATTTCGAATCAGATATGTTTTGTTTATTTTCCCTTCATTCAACGATGATTTATAATCCCCGTTGCTCATTGGCTTCGGTGAAACTGAGGCAAGTGTTAGCTATCCGGAACCAAGGGGAGATAATTGTCACATTTACA